TCGCCACTTGATGTTTTGATTCCCTGAGAGACTAAAAATTTGTCTATCTCAGCTTCATATAGAGAAGATACCAGTAGCTATCATACTATGAGTATGTTAGAAATGTGGTTCTCAAAAGTCATTTGTCTGGTACAGAGATGACATGTCTTACCAGGCCTATTCATTCAGTCTACTTTCCTCTTCAAATAATACAATTTCAGTGCCTGGTTTGAAATGAATATATACTGCTGTGGCAAATAATTGTTGAGCTGCACAGTCCTAACTTGCACATTGCTGACCACTTGGACACTGATAGATTGGAATCCATTACAATTTCCAGGCGTCACAAGGTTGTACTGCCCTGACATTCTGTTATTGCTTTACCGTCAGGCATGTGATGGTGTTTTCTCTGTTGACTAAGACTTGCTTAATGCATCAATACATTTTGTATTGACTGACATTGCAAATATCAATTACAGCAACACAGAAGTAGAAACTATGAAGTTCAGGAACTTGACTGTCACTGGCAGTGTTTTACAGTTGTCTGTGGTAGAACTTGTAGCCTGGAGCACAGGACTGCCACGTTGGTGTAGATTGGCTTCCAATGACAATTCTGTTTGTTTCCAAACAAAGGTCAAGCACAGCTAGCCAGGAATGTGCTAGTATTGGTAAATGCATGCTGTCTCTCTTGACTAAAATGGGATATCCCTCTCACCCCTTTCCTTGTTTGCTTAACACCTCTTAGAAACATAGAAGTGTCTTTTCTATGCTGAGCATCAGTCCTTTGGGACTCAGTTGACCATTTGTCTCCATTGAACTGGTTTACCACATCCACAGCTGTAAAACTTGGATGGTAGCACCTTATTTTATGAGTCAAGACAATAACACATTCTAGAACCATTCCAGATTTACTTAGCCATTCAACACATACGTGTAATCTGTACACAAGACTTAACCATGAGTGCACATCACATCAAGAATAGTTTATTGGAGGTAAAGAACTCAAAGATTTATTAGAAAAAAATTTCTATCTTTGGCATTTTTCACATCCTTCACATTCAATTATGTATTTTGAAAATGTAGTTGCTGTCATTTATATCAATAATCTTTGACCGGGTGAATTCTTCATGATAATGCCTCTACCAATCATGAGTCCATTTGCCAAACAATCACTCTGTCTTCTCATATAATAGAAATGTTGCTTTTTCCTTTGGGACCCAGCTGAGAAGAAATTCTGAATGTCAGCTGAACTTCTCAATGTAAGGCAGTCCCCTCTCACACTGGAGTTTCGCTTTGTACTACACTGAACTAGCAGCTTCTATTATGCTGAAGCTTGTGGAGTGGGGCTTGAATCGAAAGCCTACCCACAGGTGAGAGTCCTATCACTGACTGAAACTAACACTTAAAAAATGAAAGGAACGTCATTTACGACAGCTCTTTATTATCTTGAAGCAAGTTCGAGATTTTCATTCTAATTAAATATAAACCTAAGAACTTAGAAGAAAGGAAGAAGAGTTATTCTTTTTAATATGGTTTAGAAGGAAATCAAGTCATTGAGTCAAGTTCAGTGATAAGAAATTGCATCTACCAGAAATTATTACCACCTTTTCTTTAATCATTCATTTTATAACAGATATTCTGGAGTAGGTATCTTCCTTTCTAATTTTGACAGTCATTGATCCAAGTAAGATATTTTCAGTTATTTCTAAACAGCTTACGAATTCTCTGCCTTGATTTTCATTCATGGTTAATCGCAATTTATTTTTAGCTGTTTCTTTCCACACAATATCGCAAACATCAATATCAATACTGGTAAAGGATATTCTTTTTGGTAAACCATACGAAATCCTATCCTACCACTTAGAGTGAAAGTGGTGTGTGTTGTGTGGTTTTGTAACACAAAGTTACCAATCTCTCACCGCACTGATAAACAACATGGGTTCAGTATATCTGAAAATCTATAGAAATTCAGTACTTGTAACAAAGAAATAGAGCTATGCACCTTGCACTTGCTGCAATCTGAGATATTCTGACAAAGAGTCATTGGACTCAAAATATTAGCTATATTTTTTTCTCTACTATGCTGCCAGACCCACCATGTGTCTCCATTTCTCTCTGTGTTCTTTCAGATTTCTAGCATCTTCAATTCTTTAGGTGTCTATATTTCGAAGGCTCCTTCAAGAACAATCCAGTTTAAAATGATATTAAAATGGAGCAAGCACGAATAGCTGACTTGTAGGATTTGATTTATTTTTGTTCTTGGAATAAGGGGGGTATTAATTGTCCATTTTTTGGTTACTCCAAAGACATGAAATTCAATAACTGGGTTCATGTGTATGTCAGACTGAGAAGGTGCATAGATGCTTCTTAAAGAATATTGTTGCACCAACAACCTACCACTTTTCGTGGTAATTTTGATAGTATTGCTCACAAATAACAAGAGTATTTGCAAACAGCAAAGCAGAGTCCAGTGACAAGATTACTTGAATCCAGTTTCACAATGGCTGGATTTGTTACTCCATTTATAAGTTAGGCTACGATGCCAATGGTAGGATCCTTATGCAAGAAGACATTCAAATAATAAATACAATTTAACACCGAAAAATGTAGACCGTTGGTGGTAATAATGTAAGACACAAGTGATACAGATGGAACAAAATGAAGCGATTCAGAAAATATGAGGGTTTCAGTGGAGTAGTCACATCAATATGTAGACAATTTTTGAGACAAACAGAGCGAACGGACCACCCACAATGATGAATAATATATGAATAACAGCTTCATTCCAGTGTGTAAAAGCAGATTTGATTTCAACATGAAAACTTTAGGACACAACCCATGGTCTGAAAGCCTTAATGGTTTCTTTAAGAGCTATAAGGTTTGGCCACAAAGTGGCTGAAACAATTGACAGCAGTATTCCTGGAGCAAGCAGTTTTCAAAAAAAAAAACCCTGAAATTGATATCAGGCCACATATTTACAAATTTAGGAGGGTTAACACCTATCTCATACTCCTGCCATAGATGCCTGCAATGGGCACTAGCTTTTTGCCTGCAGAATGGGTGTAGCACAATCCATTTTCAAGGCCATTAAGTTGGAAGAAATAATGTAAGATTGAAAGTGATTTGAATGGGGCACACTGGAATTTTGATCCTATGGGTAACTCAGGTTGAGAATCAGTCAGGAAACAGATCACTGTATCCTTGCACATCTTTCTAAGATTGGTGATTTTATGGACCAGACAGTGCTTCTGAACAAAATACCATTTCAAGAATAGATGTGTATAATTTACTCTAACCTTATTAGTTTTGCTTCTCTTAGACAACAAAAAAGAACAGGAAGAGCAATCAATGAATGGATCACAGCATTTTCACCAAATGCTGTTTAACCTATATTGACATTTTTAAAGTACAGAAATTTTATGGATCAGAATATCATCTTTGATCCAATTGCTCTGTTTTGCCAAAATGAAGTTATGGTTCAGGTTCATCACAGATGTAAAATTTTCCATGAACCACCACAATCAGGAAAAATTGTGAATGCAATTATTTATTTTTTCCTGGCATTGAAAACTATTTATTACTTTTAAGAACAGCAATCACCTGGGACATTATTATGAGTTTATAGCACCCATGAATAATGTGATCTTTAATCACTGGAAAAAATCACTTGTTTAACTGCATATTTTCTTAATATTTTGAAGTATTTCTATTAATGCCTTTGTGATTTTTTTAAACAAAGGCTTAATTTGAAGAGACTACTCAAATTTGCACAACAGGAGGATAGCTGACACCTGCATTATTTCAATTTGAGGGCGTGGCCAGTTTTCTACGCTGGCCTCACTGCCAATGCAATGTTTTTTGTAACAGCAGATCCCAGAAACTTGTATTCAACATAACTTGCATTTAAAATATCTCAATCCTTTATGCTAGATTGGTCAATTTAAATGAAGCACACAGTCGCAGAAACACCAGATCTATATTAAGTCATTGTAAATGATATTTTTAAAGATAAAAATATTTGGAAATCCATATTATGTGCAACTATAATTATGTAATAGTTTTTATGGGTAATTGTAATGATCCCCTCCTCCTAAGAGGTTACTTAATTGTTCCTTTCTAAATATTCCCACTCTGTTCAGTATTTTGAAATGTCTGTTCCAGGATTATCTTAGACTTAAAAAATTTACAGCATAGTGGCCAATATGTCAATTTTGGATGTTTACTGGAGCAATGAAAAACCAATCCCACTGTGGCAACAAAATATAGGGTTTTTACGATATCCCTGAAACTCTCGGCCACAAGTTAGTCTGCAACCATTCAACAGACAGAAAGCAAAAGACTGAGCTAAGGAAAAGGATGCAGATCATCAGAAGTGGAGCATAGCTTTAGACTGGTTGCTAGAGAATAAAGTGTCCATTTGGGATCAGTGTGAAGTATAAGCATGGAAGTAGAGGGAAGCATGGTGGTTTTGGATCATTTTAAATGTTAAGTAGAAAGTGTTTCTGTAGTTTTGAAAACCTGCCCACTGAAATAGTCTGCGATCAATATTGCTTCCCATTTTTTACATTGAGGCTTAAAACCTAAGCCATGTTATGTGATCTTTTCAATTGGTCACCAGAATTCAAATATCTAATTGAAATGATCAGTCCCCACAGAGATAGTAAAGTGTAACATGTAAAAGCATAATTAATTCAGACTCATTTGACAATACATTCAAATTTGTGCTTGTTTCTCACTTGGCATTTGAATAGTGTTTATTGAACCACTGCCACTTTCTATTAGCACACTATAGATGTGCACACACTGGAAACTGAAGCATATCCAAAGGGTCTTCAAGGGGATTGCAGATCTTCAGTGAATTGTTCTCCAACAGTTCATTAGAATGGAATGCTGAAATGTTTCCAAGAAACGATAGCAACATTTCTCAGTTAACAAATGATTTTATTTATGATTAAATATTATATTTATGAGCAGAAAACAAAACCACATTGTTAATGATTTCAAAGTAACATTGTAAAGGGTTACAAAGATCTGATTTGCTTTTCAAACCCTAGCAGGTAAATCAGAACTTGAGCATAGTTTTTTGGCCAACCATACCAATTGCGCTCTGATAAATATATGAGGCTGGTATGAAGATGCTTGGCTTTATTGAGGCGTCGAGCTACACTAATGTTGTTGCAACACAGTATATTCAGCAAGTAGCATGTCCAGTATTTCACCTTTATTTTCATTTTGGTTGCATTTCTGGTGCTCAGGATAGCAACGAGTGTAGTCAGGATTTGCAAATCTATTGCAAGCCTTTGGTTGGTGACATTATTGTAGCAAATTCCAGACAGGCTTTGCAGGATTATGATCCTGTCCTTATCTGAAAGCAATGTTCGATTTAGGAAGTGGACAAGATCTTCAATGTAGTCCTGCGCACAAGTTGCTGCCTCAGGTCCACCTGTAGGTTAAGAAATTGACACAATCTAAATTGTTCCCATTCTCTGAAAGCGATCTGATGGAAAGCATATCAAGGACATTCAGTGCACTATGGAATATATTTTTCTCTTCTGTTTTAAAAGCATAGAATGCTGGAGGAGACCACCAGGGCCAATCATATGCATACCAGGTCTTTGAAACATACATGCCCTTTATTCATAAATCTTCCATTGTTTTTCAATTCAGATGCTTATCCAATTCATTGCCCAGAATGTATATTTTTCCACCACAATCTTAAACAGTGCATTACAAATCCTAACCACTAACAAGTTTTTTTTCTCTGACACTGTTAGTTTTTTGCCTTTCCTTTTCTCTCAGTATCTTCTGGTTCTCAACTCAATTGGAACAATATCTCTATATTGTATCCTTTTTGCAAAGGCAAACAACCCTAGCCACTTCAACTGTCCGCATTACTGAAGTCCCTTGCACCAAGTATTGTTCTTGTATATCTTTCATATACTCTAAATCCTTCACATTCTCCTTGACTGCAATGCCTAGAATTGGACACAATATTCCGACAAAAGCTGAAGAAGAATTCATAGGTTTGTTACTGCAGAAAAGGAGGCTACTTGGATTATTATGTCTGCGCTGACTCTCTGTATGAGCAAATCACCTATAACACTGCACATCCTTCTTTTTCAGATAATATTCCAATTCTGTCTAGAATGGCTTGATTGAATCTGCCTTCAAAACACTTGCAGGCTTCACATTGCAAAACCATTTGCCATGTGACAATGTTTCTTTTGCCAATTACTTTAAATCTGTATCTGCATTCTTGATACTTTCACCAAAAGGAACACAATTTCCCTATCTAGTCTATTCAGATCCCTGAGGATTTTGTATATGCTATCAAATCAAGTTTTATAAATGTTCACCCTGCTTTTGTATTCTAAGCTTCCATTTATAAAGCCCAGTATCTTTAAGTCACTTTCATAACCACACTGCCACAATGATTTGTCCACGTACACCTATGGGTCTCTGTTCCTACACACCTTTTAGAATTGAATCCTTTAATTTATATTATAACTACTCGTTCTTTCTACTAAAATGTACTACTTCTTATTTCTCTGCACTAAAATTCATCTCCTCCCTGTTTGCATATTTCACCAGCTTTTTGAAGTGTGTCACTAACATAAGATGTACAAGCAGAGGTAGGCCATTTCCTACCATTTCTACTCCACTATTCAATGCAATACAAGACTGATTTGAAATCCTCAACTCCCCTTCTTGATTTTACCCCCAACCTCTCCCCATTACCTTTGATTCCCTTACACATTAAAAATCAGCCTTAAATATACTTAATGACACAGCTCAACAATCCCCTGTGGTAAAGAATTCCACAGATTCACTATTCCTGAGAGAAGGAATTACTCTTCATCTCTACCCTAACTGGGTGACCCCTTAGTTTGAGGTTATTCCCTCTGGTCCTGGACACTCTCACAAGGGAGACAACCTTTCAGCATTTACTGTAAGTCCATTAAGAATCAATCTTCTAAATGTCAATGATCACAGACCAATCTATTCAACCTCATCTCATAAGAAAATACCTCCATACTCAAGGTCAACCTAATAAATTTCTCTAGATTGCCTCCAATGTCATTATACCTTTCCTTAGATAGGGTGTCAAAACTGTTCAAGTATTCTACATGGGATCTAACTAGTGCATGTATAGTTTTAGTAAGACTTCCCTATTTTTATATCCTATTCCCTTTGAAACAAAGGACAACATTCCATTTGCCTACCCTGTTACCTGTTGAACTTGAACATTAGTTTTTGTTTAGATTTATGTATGAGGAATCCCAAGTCTCTCTATGCTGAAGCTTTCTGTATCTTTCTCCATTTAAATAATACTCAGCACTTCTATTCTACCTGTCAAAATGCACATTTTTCCACATTATATTCCATTTGCCAAGTTTTTGCCCACTCACTCAACCTGTCTATCTCCCTCTGTAAACGCTTTGTGTCATCCATTTACTTAATGTTAGTATGTTCACTTACCTCATCCAAGTCATTAATATGTATTGTCAAAAATTGTGGCCCAACCACTGATCTCTGTGACACTCCACTAGTTGCCAATTGCCATCTTGAAAGTGTTCCCCTTATCCCAACCTTCTATTAATCCTCTCTCCATGTTAATATGCTGTCCCTAGCACTGAAGAGTCTTGTTGAGTAGCTTAATGTGCAGTATCTTACTGGCCACCTTTTGGAAATCCAGATATTTTATATTTACAGATTCCCCTTTATCCTGTTTGTTTATCTCAAAGAATTCAAACAAATTTCTCAAGCATGATTTCTCCCTCATGAAGTCATGCTGACTCTAACTGATCAACTGATCATAAATGCTCTGCTATTATATCCCTTTTAATAGACTCTAACACTTTCCCAATGGCAGATGTTAAACTAACTGGCCTATAATTACCTGTGATAGTAGGAACTGCAGATGCTGGAGAATCTGAGATAACAAGGTGTAGAGCTGGATGAACACAGCAGGCCAAGCAGCATCATAGGAGCAGGAGGGCTGGTGTTTCGGGCCTAGACCCTTCATCAGAAATGGGGGAGGGGAAGGGGTTCTGAAATAAATAGGGAGAGAGGGGGAGGCGGATAGAAGATGGATAGAGGAGAAGATAGGTGGAGAGGAGACAGACCGGTCAAAGAGGCGGGGATGGAGCCAGTAAAGGTGAGTGTAGGTGGGGAGGTAGGGAGGAGATAGGTCAGTCCAGGGAGGACGGACAGGTCAAGGGGGCGGGATGAGGTTAGTAGGTAGGAGATGGGGGTGCAGCTTGAGGTGGGAGGAGGGGATAGGTGGTAGGAAGAACAGGATAGGGAGGCGGGGACGAGCTGGGCTGGTTTTGGGATGCAGTAGGGGGAGGGGAGATTTTGAAGCTTGTGAAATCCACATTGATACCATTGGCCTACAGGGTTCCCAAGCGGAATATGAGTTGCTGTTCCTGCAACCTTCGGGTGGCATCGATGTGGCAGGAGGCCCAGGATGGACATGTCATCTGAGGAATGGGAGGGGGAGTTGAAATGGTTCGCAACTGGGAGGTGCAGTTGTTTAGTGCGAACCGAGCATAGGTGTTCTGCAAAGTGGTCCCCAAGCCTCCGCTTAGTTTCCCCGATGTAGAGGAGGCCACAATGGGTACAGCGGATGCAGTATACCACATTAGCAGATGTGCAGGTGAACATCTGCTTGATGTGGAAAGTCTTCTTGGCACCTGGGATGAGAGTGAAGGAGGAGGTGTGGGGGCAGGTGTAGCACTTCCTGCGGTTGCAGGGAAAAGTGCCGGGTGTGGTGGGGCTGGAGGGAGTCACGGAGAGAGTGGTCCCTCTGGAAAGCAGATAAGAGTGGGGAGGGAAAAATGTCTTTGGTGGTGGGGTCGGATTGCAGATGGCGGAAGTGTCGGAGGATGATGCATTGGATCCGGAGGTTGGTGGGGTGGTACGTGAGGACGAGGGGGATTCTTTTTTGGTTGTTATTGTGGGGACGGGGTGTGAGGGATGAGTTGCGGGAAATGCGGGAGACACGGTGGAGGGCGTTCTCGACCACTGAGGGGGGGAAGTTGCGGTCCTTGAAAAACGAGGACATCTGAGATGTACGGGAGTGGAATGCCTCATCCTGGGAGCAGATGCGGCGGAGGCGAAGGAATTGGGAATAGGGGATGGCATTTTTGCAGGAAGGTGGGTGGGAGGAGGTGTATTCTAGGTAGCTGTGGGAGTCGGTGGGCTTGAAATGGATATCGGTTTCTAGGTGGTTGCTCGAGATGGAGACAGAGGTGTCTAGGAAGTTGAGAGAGGTATTAGAGAACCAGCCCAGCTCATCCACAAGCTTCAAAATCTCTCCTCCCCCTATTGCATCCCAAAACCAGCCCAGCTTGTCCCCGCCTCCCTAAACTGTTCTTCCTCCCACCTATCCCCTCCTCCCACCTCAAGCTGCACCCCCATCTCCTACCTACTAACCTCATCCCGCCCCCTTGACCTGTCTGTCCGTCCTCCCTGGACTGACCTATCTCCTCCCTACCTCCCCACCTACACTCACCTTTACTGGCTCTATCCCCGCCTCTTTGACCTGTCTGTCTCCTCTCCACCTATCTTCTCCTCTATCCATCTTCTATCCGCCTCCCCCTCTCTCCCTATTTATTTCAGAACCCCCTTCCCCTCCCCCATTTCTGATGAAGGGTCTAGGCCCAAAACGCCAGCTTTCCTGCTCCTTTGATGCTGCTTGGCCTGCTGTGTTCATCCAGCTCTACACCTTGTTATCTATAATTACCTGTGTTTTTTTTTGTCTCCTTCCCTCTTTGAATAAGGGTTTTACATTGGCAGTTTTCCAATTCTCTGAGACTTTTCCAGAATCTGTAGAATATTACTACCTATGCATCCAGTCTCTTTTTAGCTACTGTCTTTAAAATCTGGGGTGCATCCAATCGGGTCTAGTGGACTTAATTGCCTATTAGTTTCCCTAGTACTTTTTCTCCAGTGATAGTTATATTTATTCCTTCTCTCCATCTTTGACCCTTGAATATTTAGTATTTTGGAATACTCAAAGTATCTTCTACAGTGAAGACCAATGCAAAGTACTTATTCAATTCCTGTGCCATTTCCTATTTCCACATTATTATTCCCTCAGTCTCATTCTTTAAAGGACCTGTTCTCACTTTTGCCACACTTTTCTTTTTATATATTTAAAGGAGATCTTGCTGGCCATCTTGATGTTACTTGCTAGCTTACTCCCAAAGTTCATTTTCTCCCTTTTTTTGGTGATCTTTCATTGTTTAAAATTTTCTCAATCCTCTGCCACTCGTCTTTGCTACATTTTATATTTTTTTCTTTAACCTTGATACCATCCTTAACTCCCTCGTTTACCACAGTTACTTCATCCCCTTCCTAGAATCCTTACTCCTCACTGGAATGTATCGTTTTTGCAAGCCATTAACTATTTTCTTAAACATTTGCCATTTTTCCTCAACCATCTTTTCTGCTAAACTCCTTTTCCAATCCATTCCAGCCACCTCTATCCTCATTCCTTTATAATCACCCTTATTTTTATTTAATACAGTTGTTTTAAACCCAACTTTTTCACTCTCAAACCAAATGCTAAATTCTACATTTTATAAGGGATCTTGATTTCTCCAATCATTTATTAAATTTGGAAAAACTCAGCAGATCTGGCAGCTGTGGTTTCTGTTCTGAAGCAGGGTCACTGGACCTGAAACATTAACTCTACTTTCTTTCCACAGATTCTGCTAGATCTGCTGAGTTTTTCCAGCAATTTCTGATTTTCACCATCACCATTTCTTTGTTTTACTCATTTATTAAATCTGCCTCATTACACTTTACCAAATCCAAAATAGCCTGATCCCTGACTTGTTCCACATTATGTTGCACTAGGAAACTGAATATGTTATGTGAATGTGCTCTGTCCTCTTCATAGTTTTCAATATTTCTAAATTATATGTCATCTGAAAATTTTCAAATTTGCTGCGCATATTCAAACAAAGTAAATAAATATATTTCAAAAAGGCCCAATAGTGATACCAGAGGAGTCCCACTGTACACTTTACTCCAGTCTGATTATTAGCTTTTCAATACTACTCTATTTCCTGTCACTTAGCCAACATTGTATCCTTGCTGTCACTAGCCATTTTGTTCCATGAGTTTAAACTGAACAGGAAAGTCCATCCTATAGCACTTCGTGAAATATGCTTTGGCGGTTCATATATACCACATATATCTATCACAGTGCCCATCAACACTTTGTTACCATCATAAACAAACCATCAAGTTAAATAAGCACTATTTTACACTTAACAAATCCAGATTGGCAATCCTTCATGAATCTGTTTTGGTTTTCCAAATGACTGTTAATTTTGTCCTAGATTATCATTTCTAAAAGGTTGGGTGAAATTCTGGTTAGCTTAATTTATGATGAGGAAGTACAACTATTGCCCAAATGACAGGTCTGTCTCTCTAGTATTGTTCAGTGAAGTTTCTCTCTAAAGAGAGCCTCCTGCATCAGCTATGCTCCCCACTGGAACTGAAAATCATACATTTTATATATGGAAATTCTGTTATTGCTAAACTCAAACAACACAACAATTCATCCCCGTCAGTCTCACTGAAATAGTACTGACCATGATTGTCTTGACTTTGGCTTGGCACTACAGTGAAAATTATAATATCTTGATTGACGATTGTGACTCTGACATTCAGTGTCAGAGTGATATCTGTGGCTGTGCACTAAACAGACAGTGAATCTAAAGGACTAATCTGTGAGAGATAAAGGCACCTGAAAGAAACAAAATTAATCTTACACCTATTTTACATTTTATGGAAATAAAACGACTGCTCCTTGATTTGCCTCAATTCTGCGTATATAGGTTTTATAAGGTTTATTTGACAAATTTGGCCAAACACAGGCAAGAGGTACCAAATTATTTGTCTCTTTGTGTGTTGTAGGTTTAATAATCAACTTCACTATTTCATCAATAAATGTGGAGCTGGAAAAGCACAGCATATCAGACAGCATCTGAGGAGCAGGGAATTCAACGTTTTGGGCTGAAACCCTTCATCAGGACCCTACACTGTATACATATGTGCCTTTACGTTTCATTCTCTCCCCAGTGACCAGGCAAAATATGGATCCAGAAAAATGATCTTCTTTAAAGATAGAAGTTTGGCAGAGTATATTCACCTCAGAACAATTAAACATTAACAGAGCTATTGCAGAAAATTAGAAACTATTTCATTAGAAAAAGAAGAATGACAGTAGCAGGAAGTGGATTGACCTGTAAAACTCAATATGCCTATAGATAATGCAGCTTGAAGCCTGTTGTTCAATGGCAGATGAGTTTTCTGTAGCGAAGCACCCAAAATCTTCATCTGTTTAACCTGTGGATTATCATTGTCTATAGACTCTTCATCTTCATCCTCTTCCCTGGACAGATGACGTTTGATATACTTCTCATAAAATTCAAAAATTGACTTGAACATTTTACTCAGCTGTTCAAAGATTAACATGACAGGTTATTAAACTGTTCCAATTCTAAAAAAGACTACAACTATTCCATTTAGCACTCCTGAAATAAAAAAGATACGTGGAATAAAAATGACATCTCCATCAGAAAATCTAAAAATGGTGGATTATATTCCTGGCATGTAACTTTTATATTACAACCCTATTGGCTGGCTGGAACCTAATTAGCCAATAGATCCTATTTCAACTTACTCCTCTTCTGAAACATAAAAAATATCAGTAGGAGTTTACCATAATTTCCTGTAGCCAGCCCTGTTATTAAATAAAATTATCGCTGATCTTCAACATTTTGTGCATTATCTCCACATCCTTTGATATTTTTAATATGTAGAAATGTAGGTATATTAGCTGATCTTATCCTGACTGCACCTCCACGACACAGAATTCCAAAGTCTCTTCATCCTCCTCATCTCTGTCCTAAATGCCCCTCCCTTGTTCTGAGACTGTGTCCCCTTGTTCTAGATCATTAAATGGGACAGCAGCCTTTCTGTATCTACCGTTTTAGGCCCTGTAAGAAATATGTATGTTTGAATGAGATCATTTTTCATTCTTCTAAATTCCAGAGAATATAGGCCCAATCTATTTATTATTTTTCATAGGACAATCCATGAAACCCAGGAATCAGATTCCTTCTATGACAAGTATATATTTCTGTAAGTAAAGAAACCACAACTGTGCTCAATACAGCAAGTTTAGTCTCATTATTGTATGTGCAGCAACGCCAACCACTGTCACCTTCTGGTTGGAGTAGTTTACTGCCACCTTCCTTGCCTGCATCTTAGGGCTAATTTGATTTACAGGGGTGGAAGAAAACCAGGTCTTAATGAGAAGATGCTGTTGTCTTAAATAAAATGTTGTATATTGCATGATAGCTATCAAGTACAAGTTATATTGGTATGATAGACATTGTTACTAAGACCGTAACAAGGTCTTCACTCAGCGTCTACATCTGATTTTAGGCTAACATTTCCTAACTTTTTCTCTCCATTTTTTAAAGAACAGGCTTACATTTGCCACATTCCAAACTACAGGAATCATTCAGAGTTTATGAAATTTTTGAAAGATTACCCTTATTAACTCATTCTTCCTGCTCTTTCTGCTTACTTTTACCACTTCCCTTTCCCTTCTGTGCGCTGTTTCATTCCCTCTCTTCTGTTCACCATTTCCCTCTCCCTCCTGCTCATGGTTTCCTTCTCTTTCTCTCCCTTCCTGTTCACTACCACTTCCTTCCCACTCTGCATCATTCCAATCCACTTACTCCCTTTTGCTTGACACTTCTCACTCCCTCTCTCTCTCCACTACACTGCTTCCCCTCACTGTTTCCCTTTCTCTCACTCTCAGTGCTCCTTGTTGTTTCCCTCTCCTCACTCCTTCACTGTTACTTGCTTGCCACCCATGTTGCAGTTATGAGCAAGGGTCTAGGTGAGGGAAGTGGTGCGAGAGAGAGAGACGTGATGTGCAACAGGGACAAAAGTGTCAAGCAGGGAGAGAAGCAAGCTGTCAGTAGGGGAAAAGGACACTAAATGGCGAGAGAGGGAAAGGGAAGCAGCAAGTGGAGGAATCAGGAGGTCAGGAGAAAGAGGCAACAAGAAGGATGCACTGAGGGGATTGGAAGGAGGATGTGGTGAGCAGGAGGGAGTGAAGGTGTCAGCAAAGGGGAGTAGCAAGCAAGAGAGAATCATAGGGTTGGGAGGGATGTGGTGATTTGGAGGAAGTAAGGGTGTCAGGAGAAGGAAGTAAGGGTGTCAGGAGAAGGAAGTAGTACGCAGAAAGGAGTGAGTGAAGTTGGGAGAGAAACTTGGTAGCAGAAGCAAATCAGGAGGAGAGGGGGGTTGGGTGGGGTGGATGTTCAGAAAAGTGAGTAAGCAAAATAGGGTGTCTTAAAAAAACAGACTGAGCAAGTGCGGTTAGAACATATATCTTGGCACATGTGCAGTAACTATACGTGAAACAAAAGTAGAAGCAGCGCTATTCAAGTAAATGCCGTCATTTACAAATTACTGTAAATTAAAATCACTCTGTAAACAGAGAATACCTGTTTTTAAGACTTAGCGAATAATAGTACTGCTGGAATTCTGTTTGTGAAGAATTTGATGAACATCTATAAGTTACAATGTAAAATGTGATGTCCTACTTTGTGATGCAATCAAATTCTCTGTTAAGAATAGATTTTTCTTAAATCATGATATGACAATGGTAAATTCCATTGCACCCTGTTACAAGGATGATGTCACAGTCAGGACATCAACATATTTTTACACAGCACCTTTAACAGTAAAAAGTCTACCAAAGCACTTCACATAAATGCTACCAAACACAATTCAATATCAAACTCTTTATGGGGATGTTAGCAGGGAGATGCCCAGAAGTTTGGTCAAGGCATTAAGTTTTAAGGTGTACCTTGAAGATGAGATGTTGAATGGCAAGAAGGTTTAGCAAGGAAATGCTGGAATTTAATGCCTCGAAAACATGGTTGCCAATGATAATGAAAACCAGGGATAAGCAAGAGACTAGAATGAGAGGAGTTTTATTGTTGGAAATGGTCAAAGGTTTGCTGGGGGAAGAGGTTAGATCTTAGTGATGGCAAAATGGGGTTCTGGTGGGTGTTCGGGGAAAGAACAAGGATTTAAAAACAAAGATAAAAATTTTAAGTTTGAGGTTTTGCTAAAATGGGAGACAATGTATGTAAGCGAGCCGATGGATGATGAGTGAATTGGATTTGATGCAAGGGGGCAGAGTTTTCTAAGACCTCATAATTATGGAGAATTATACCTCTTTTGCACAGGTAGTAAAAGAAACACATATCCAAGAACGTTCATTACTAACATTATTAGAGCCCTTAGGTCGCAAGTAACAAATAATTTCAGGAAAACCAACTCTAAAAATCAACATAGGGTTCACCAGGGATGGAACCCCCTCATACTGGTCCCACTATGACATTGTATGAAGGAATATTGGTTGACCAATCTTGACTAGCTGCTAGGAGATGCATGGTTGCCATTTTAAGTGAATAGTCATTTAAGTTGATCCCTTCCCCTTCGGTAAAGGATCTTATTTATGCTAATTGTTGCTCATTATCATTAAACTGAGGTTAAGAACCTGTCCTTAACTCTTCCTCACAGGATCACTTCTCTTTGATAACCGCATGCGGCCTCTTCCAATTCAAAGTCTTACCTGTTGCCGGGCATCGCGTTTGAGACAGCTGATTTGCCACAGGTGACATAAAGAAATGTGGCACCCAAAACCAGGAGGTGACATTTGAGTGAATCCTGAGTTGTAAAGAGTCAGAGTGTCCAAATGTGGCTCCAGGCTGCTGTAGGTAATTGCAAGTCTCCAAGATAGCCTTGGAATCTCCAACAATTGAAGGTCCAACTCCAGGATTAGGTTGTGAACAACACTGGAGAAAATGTAGCTTCTTAACGAAATTATGAGCTTTTCATTTCCCTTTTATTAATTCATTCATAGGATTGTGGGCATCACTGCTCGAGTGAGCATTTATTGCCTGTCCCTAATTGTCCTAGAACAGGTGGTGGTGAGCCTCTTTCTTAAACTGTCAATGTCTTTGGGATGTAGGGGCAGCCACACTGCTATTAGGGAGAGAGTTCTGAAATTTTGGCTGAGCAACACTGAAGGAACAGTGATTGATTTCCAAGTCTGCATGATGGGAGGCTTGGATGGGAACTTGTAGCTGGTAGTGTTTCCATGTATCTGCCACCCTTGTCCTTCTAAATGCTAATGAATGTGGATTTGGAACCTTGGTGAATTTCTGCAGTGCATCTTAAAAATGGTCCACGCTTCTGCTACGGAGCATCGACAGTGGAGGGAGTGGAAGTTTGTGGATGTGGTGCCAATCAAGCGACTGTTTTGAGTATTGTTGGAGCTGCACTTATCCAGACAAGATTGGAGTATTCCATCACCTTCCTGACTTGTGCCTTGTAGATGATGGACAGGCTTTGGAGAGTCAGGAGATGAGTTACTTGCTGCATGATTCCTAGCTTCTGACCTGCTCTTGTAGCCATGTGTTTACATGGCTGGTTCAGTCCAGTTTCGGGTCAATGGTAGCCCCCAGGATGTTCATAGTATGGGTTCAGAGATGGCAATGAGATTGAATGTAAAGGGTCAATGGTTGGAGATGGTCATTGCCTGAAACTTGTTTGGCACAGATGTTACTTAGAATGCTTCTACTTATTAGGTAAGCATAGAAAGGACAGAAAGAAAGGCTGTTTTGCTAATGTGCGATGATTAATCTGTCTGTGACAGTGGCACAGATATTTATATCCTGAGCTTTAGAACTGGAAATATTAAATGCAAGAACAAAGCAGTTATTATAAACCTTCATAAAACACTGGATGACAACTGGAGTAATGTACTTGTTTCTGGGCACTATATGTTACAAAGAATATGAAGGCTTTAAAGAGAGTGCAGAAAAGATTTACAAGAATAATTCCAGGCATGAGGAATTTCAGTAACATGGATAGATCAGAGAAGCTGTGGTGTTCTCCTTTAGGCAGAGAAAATTGAGAATGTTTTAATATACAGTCTAACTTAATGTTTTAATGCAGTATTGAGAAAACGCTCACCTTTCACATGAAATGTTCAACAGTGAGCTTAGACAGGTTGGTGATGAAATTTAGATGAAATTTAATGCAGAGATATATGAAGTAATTCATTTTGATTGAAGAAGGTAAAGAGCTTACATAAAATAAAGAGAGCAATTCTAAAATGGTGGAGGAGCAGAGGAATCTGGACGTATATGTGCACAAGTCATTGAAGGTGACAGGACAGTTGAAAAAGCAGTTAATAAAGAATACAACTTCCCAGACTTAAAGAGGCATAGACTACAAATGGAATAAGTTATATTAATATTGTATAAAACAATGGTTCAACCTCGACTTGACTATTGGGTGCTGCCCTTCAGGGAAAATATAGAGGCATTAGAGAAGGTGCAGAAAAGATT